GGGAGCCGCGGCCGCTGTTTCGCCACGGATGTTAGCTTTTGAATTTCAACTGTACACAGATACCAAACCTCTTTGCTCTTTGCGTCTAAAATACAACTGTCTCGGCACCCGTTCGGTGTCATCGCCTCATCGGCGGTGGACGCCGGACGGCGTTCAGTCGTTAGTTTCCCCTCCCCGGGGACCCCGTCGCCGTCGGTGTTTGCGCGCGCGCGCTCGTAATAATTTTATTCGGCGACATAGAATAATTCAGCAAAACCAAAATTACTTGGCGGTTTTATATTTTCTCGCCCCCCCCCTCCACACCGGTCGGAGAGTTTCGAATTATTTTATTTGCGGGATGAACGCGCCGTCGTCGGTTGTCTTCCGAGTAGCAGAGCGTTCGGTCAGAGCTGTACGGTCGGCAGAATGCGTTAACGCCGGTGAGTATGCTATGGAAATCTCGAAGAAAAAAAAAAAAAACAACCAAATAACGTCTCCGGTCGGCCGCAGATAGGCAGCGACATCAAACATCGTTATTGTCGTCCAATTGTTATCGTCGTACGTTTCGTTTTGTCGCAGCTTCGGGCATGCCCTGGAATGCGTGCGAAACGCTGCCGGGGACAGATACATATAAAAAAAAAAAAAAATTCGTATACATTTATCGTACTTGCGCAAATAAGTGCGCGAATTTTTTTAATGGATCCGATAACCCGGTGAGACCGTCGGAACAGTGCCTAACGGCCACGTGCCCACGTTTAGCGTGCGTGCGCGCTTACCACCCCGCGGCGGTGCTCGCCCATCTGCAAAGCCGTCGTTTTCGGCGACCGAAATAAAACCGTAAAATCTCGAATCGAAACGGTTTTCTATTTATTTGTTTATTTATTTATTTATTTATTTATTATTTCCAGAAACAACGTCGGGCGTGCCGCGGACGGTCACGTAAGTCGTATTATATTATCGAATTAAACGGGTAACGGACGTAAAGCGACGGCGATCCGCGAAATACAAATCGCAATCGTGTGTCGCGCGTATGACGGACGAGAGTTAAAAATAGAAAAAACAACGAGCGTAATAACTTAACACTTGGCCGCATTAGGTGATCCCTCTGAAGGACGGCGCACGATTATTGTTCCCCGTGAACGTATCGAGAACGACGTGAAGTGGAACCGTTGCGTTGTTAAGTTCGCATTGAAATGACGTGCACTTTGGTATTGTTATTGTCTTCGTTTGTTTTCCAACGGTTTCTCGGCCTTTATTACCTACGATTGCCGACGCCGCGGTGATTTCGATTAACAGTAGCAATAATCGTACGTCCCGCGGGGACGGTGTCGCGTACGTAAAACCCCGCGAATTCGCGTTACAAATGTTACGTCACGCTATAGCGTTCAGACGTTTTGCAAAGTTGTGACCAGTTTCGCGGTCGGGATTTCGGTCGGCGGAACGGGACGCGGACAGCGGTTATTAGTACGGATCGCGAATACGAACCATCGGGAACCGTCATTGTGACGCCCCGACTAAACGGGAATTCGAATCGCGATTCTCGACGATAATCGAATCTTTCGCCCGGGACACGGGACGCGACGTAGCGATGCGGTTCGAAGATTGGATCGAGTACGCGAAAAACGGGCGCTCGCAGTGTTTTGGTGTGTTCAACCCCGCGGAGGGCCGCGGGCACGACTCTTGACCGGCTCGCTCACCCGAGCGCCGGCCACCGCCGGTCGTGTCGCGCTCGGCCCCGTAACGCGTAACTTTTGTTGTATGCACGGCGCGTCGTATTGCGTCGGGTTACGATTTGCCGGTAATTCTGTCCGCGTTTCCGAGATGCGATTGTTGCGGGGGCCCCGCGGAACACGCGGTCGCGCGATGACCGAACGCTGTTTTGTCAGCGCGCCGCGTTCGCCGCCGGCCTCATTGCAAACCGTACGGCGCGACGGTTGTTTGCGCCGACTTTTCGCGGTGCGCGTTACGGAACGTGCGCGATCGAGTCGGATGTTTGCACAGACCGCAAACGTTACCGGTTCCGGGCATTAAATAAGAAAATGTTTTATTTTTATTAAAATTCGACGCGTCCGGGGTCCTTTTCCGGTTATCGCCAAAATTTATTTCGACCAAAACTTCATCGAATGTGTACGCGTGGCGTTGTTTTCAATTGAGGCACGTGTTAAAAATCAAAAGTGTGTAGTCACTGAGAAGTGAAGTCATTTTTAAAACCAATAGCAATAATGGAAAACGGTAACTCGATATTCCAGAGTGAGCTACCTGTATGTTTAAACGACAAATTCGAAACGAGTGGAAAACTCTCCGAGATTATGAGTGCCCCCCTATCGATGATCGATTACTGTGTAAATATCGGAAAAAAAAACAACATGTTCTTGCATTCGCGGAAACTCGTGGTTCGTCATTAACAAAAGTGCATGTTGAAGGTGTACATTTTAATTTTTCGTTTCGCGCATTTGGAATTTCACAGTTGTGCACAAAATTAACCACTGACGTGTCGTTTCTTCGGGCATTTTTACGTTTTTACGGAAGAGCTTCTTATCGTTTTATCCCTACGTCCAGGACCGTTTTCAGTTCCCCTATAAATTAATTTTCAGTGGTGTCATCCAATATGCGATTTTTTTTTTTTTTTTTAAACTTTTCCGGTGTGGCCGAATAAAAACATACAGGTTACATATTGTGCCTACCTAGAGGTTCGGTTGTAGCTTGTACCTAGTAAATCTAGTCTCGTTCGTGCAGTGTTTGACTACAAACGAATAATAATCGTGCGTAATATTTAATAGCAATAAAGTACAAGAATTTTGGGCACCAATTATTATTCTCATACACATTCTTAGTTTAAACGTAAACGATTTTAATAACCGAATATTTCATGTAGAGTGGGCATTAGTAGCGGCAGGTATTAGTCTGTTAGTTTCGATTACTTTAATCTTTAATGAGGTTAATCAGGTAAATACACGGACAGAACAACACCTATAATAATCATTAATTAATAATATAGGTACCGAATATTGACTACCTAATACCTACTTTTAATTTGCCTTATGTAGGTACCTGTTAGGGTGTGGCACTTTGTTTCAGTACCTATTTTTTTTTTCTAATTACATAGTGTGCAATGTACATTTAAAGCCGGAAATTCAACCGAAGATTTATTGTTGGACTCTTGCGGAAGGGAATAAGGATGTTTGAAAAAATATGCTCAAAATCCAAAAACAGCATTTTTTTTAATTTTTTTTTTTACTTTTCTACAATTTCAACTTCCAAGCATTTCCCTTTTAAACCAACTATTCTGTGATTAAATTTACGCAGGCAATATTTTCAAGCCTTTTTCCTTTTAAGCTATTCCTCGGATTTTAATTAGATCATAATATCAAATACCATACTGAAAGACTCATCTTTTAGAAGGTATTATAAATATACATTAGCTAATATAGATACACTCACCTACTGATAATTTGATTAATACCAATCAATATAATATAACATTGTTAAATTAAGCACCTAAGTACATCCAGGTTTATATTGAATATACTAGTTGGGTATTGTTTTTATTTTGAATGGTAGGTATTTTTATATTATTAAATGGGATATTTTATATACTTACAGATTACTGCGATTTTTGTTTGCCAATGATTATAAAATACTGTAGGTATTTAGGTAATTAATAATTAGGCAGGTAATTAGGTAGATAGATAGCTATTTCAATATTATGTTAGTTCTAATCAACAGTAGTGAACCTTGGGAGTTAGTACATCTATATCCTAAGAAAAAAAAAATATATAATAATATTTTACAACACTAAATAAAGTAAAATCATTTGTTTCAAATTTGGATTTTTAAAAATAAAATGTATACATTTTTTAATAATGTATCTATAAATCAATTAATTACTTATACTCATTTGTATAAAAATCTAATAAGGTGTTCTCTTTTTTTTTAAATTAACTACGAGCTGTCATCATTACCATTTTTAATACATTAAAAAGTAAATTAAGGTCATTCAAATATTTGGTTTTAATAGATTTCTGTATCTATCTACCTATTATTGTAATGAATTGTATAATGCAGATGTAATACAACAACTATTTTAGTATATTTTTTCTCATTACTGAGGTCCCTTCATCTTTAAGGATATAATATCAGAACAGAAAGAATTCAAAATGACTTAAAGTTATTTCGAAGTCTAAAATTTCAAGATAATTTCACACATCATTTAATATGAAACTATGAAATCTAAATTTAGATATCTACTGTAGAATATATGGGGCTGAAAATGGATTTTTCATTTTTTACATAAAATATAGGGTCAAGTAGAATATTTTAATTTTCTCCAAAATGGTTTCCATATAATTTATTTGGTCTTGTCCATCTTTTTATATTATGTACTTTTTGGCAACTTAACGGCAAATTCTTCAAATATCAAATCATAGTGTTAATTTTTTAAATATAGATTTTTTTATTTATTCTTTTAAAAATGTATAAATTGTATGCAAAATCCTCGATTGTTCTATTGATGTATATACAATATACATATTATATTTTTTCATCTCTAATACTTAAATTTGTTTATTTTATGTTGCACATACTATAATATACACTAATCAAACTCTTAAAGTTGTTTATATGCTTGTGTGTTGGGTCACTGCCAGTTAATTAAATAAATAAATTCAACCACAAATACATATTTAAAATATACATTATACATTTCATTAAATTAATTTTTGCATGCATTTTATACATGTTTTAAATTTATTTTGTAAAAATAGTATACTAAACATTCTATTGAAAATTAAGTTCGGGTTAAATATATTTTTTAAGTACAATAATTGTTGATTTAAATTAGCGAGTAAAAATAATTTGGTACATAAATAGGTATATAATAATAATTATATGAACGAAAAAAAATAAATAGATATATATTTTATGTAAATACAAATATTCATATTCGTACAAAAATAAATTTCAAAACTAAAAATATACTAAGTATATACTATATATTTACATATTAAGTAAAACTATAAAATAAAATAGATGAAAACTCACAATGAAAAATTAAATAGAAAAGTATTTTATATTTTGCTAAAAATATAATGTAGAAAGTAACAATAAGATAAAATAATAATAATAAAACAATTTAGGGTAGAAATTTTTTAAGTTACAAACAAAATTGTGTCAAAATGTCAAGATATAAAACATAATTAAAAGTAGAATGAAAAATGTATTAATATTATAAATTAGTGGTTATTATTTTAATTTTTATGTATTACCAATGTTAAGAGTATACACTACTACTATTACATTATTTAAAATAGAAGCCCTTCCCTATAGATATATATATATATAAATTAACTAAAGAAAAACAAGTATGAATATTTTAAAGACGCGGGTTTGTATCTAATTTATAACGTTTTACTATTGTTGTCATAATTTAAATACAAACCAGCATTATATTATAACATTTATGTAATAATATTGCTATCAACTAATGCATACTTATTCTTATTTAGCAATACACCTTGAGTTATACAATCTAATATCCATTTTTCATGGATATTACCAATCCCCAGAAATGTATAACCAACCACTATATTAGCTGTTGTCTCATTATTTGTACATTGGCCACCACAAGCCCGTACTAGTCGTTTTAGTTGTCTAGCTGATGGTTCACAGGTATTTGATATGTATATGCTACCGGCATCATCAAATATATGAAATGTTAATAATGAACCAAACATTTGACGTCGTGCTTGAAATTTCTTAAATAAATGATATTAAAATTAATCACAAATAAAATATAAGTTAATTTAGAATTATTACTTTAACTGGTTCTGATAGATTTGTAATCAAATATGGTTGATGAGGAATCCATTTTCCAATTATGTTTGATTCATGTATCTGAAAAATAAATTGAAAATTTATTATATATATATTTAAACAATGTATTGAACTTTGAATATAGTTTAAAAGGACATTATACCCTCATGTGTTTTCTCAGTCCAATTAACCCGCTTAATTTTGATTTAAGAATAAAAGCACCTATTATAAAAATTAAATGAGCACAATATTCAGGAGGACAAGACAATGTGATTATTTTTTGAAATATTTAAAAACTATGAATTTTTATTTCTAATTAATATATTGAATGTTTTATCAGGAATAATAATTAGAATAGTAGGAAAATGCACTGTCTTGCCCTATGAAATATTGTACTCTTTACATTTTTAATGATATATTAATTATATTGATTTTGTTCTAAAACCAAAATTACCTGATTTTCTATGAAATACTACATATATATATTTATATATATTATAGAAATCATTTTTTTTCTTTACATGACTTATCTATACTTGTGTTAGTGCAATTTTATAATTCAAGAACATGAAAGTAAACAAAATAATAGCATAGTTTAATAATAATTATTAGTTGGAGCACTTGATATTTATTGATTATGTGGAATTGACATACTGATTACTTCCTGTAGCTCTACTCTATATCGATAAATTAAAACTCTTAATGGAAAATTAAACTTACCATCAATATAATAAGAACATTTTTTTCAATTAATAAAGTATGATACAACACTATACATGGTAATCATATCTTTAAATCAGTGATTTGATACTATACATATTATTTACAGTATTTGTTTCTTATTTCCAGGTAATCTAGAAATCTTGACTTGTAAATATTGTAAGTTTTAAAATAATAATGCATGGCCTTTAGTATTTTTTTTATTTTTATTTTTTTCATAATAAAGCAAATCCATGATAATAATTAAAGTTTTATTATGATCAGTTTTAATGTAAATTCAGCATCACAAATCAATATGGTTTTATGCCAAAATAAAAGTTGGATTTAATTTTAAATTTGATAATTTTTCTTTATGCTATCAATGATGATTTTAGATATTGGGTGGTCCGCATTAAAGAAATAATATTTCTAGTTAATTACCAAGTAAACCGCAATTAACATATTATTTTTTAAAAGTATTCTTACCCATTTTTCAGAAACAATGTAACACCCAAAGGCCATTGCAAATACCATGTTTAATGTTCTATCTGCATGTGATTTGGTAATTAAATAAGTGGTTGATGGCTTCACTTTATCATCAAAAGTAAATTTTCCTAAATTTTGTATAGCCAACTTTATATTGGCTACTTCACTGTAATAATAAAATTGTCTAATAATATGTAATACATTAAATAATAATAAAAAGTGTTAGAATATAATATCACCTTCTTTTCATTCCAGTACATGCAATTTTTTGTAGCACTACAGGATCAGCTAAAGAACTCTGGGGGGTTTCAAAAACTGTAGACGAATTTCTGGAAAATACACTAGTTTGAGTCTTTTCAGCTTGCATACTTTTTCCTTTTGGAATATTTTTTTTTTTTTTTGGACGTAATTCTGTAGGTATTCTCCATCCCAAGCCATTTTTGTCAATTCTTTTGGTTGGTGGAGTTTTTTCATTATTAAATTTTTTGTTTTGAGATACTGTATTAATTTTGTTTTTTTGTTTTTTTGAACTAGTCAATTTAGCTGGAGCACTGATTCTCAATTTTTGGGGCGATGGTGATGGGAAATCACTGTCACTGTCAATGGTTAGGTTTGGTAATTCTGTTGTTGGAAATAATAGTTTACGTAACCGTCGTCTAGCTTGGCTATTTAAATTTAGACAATCTTCAATTTGTACTAAGTCACTGTCAAATTTTGTTGGTGTTTTGTTTTCCTTTTCACTGGGTGTGAGAATCTTCCTCAATTGTTTAATTGACATTGGTAAATATAGCTCATCAATGTTTTTATTTGGCATTGGACTATCATTGGTATTTAAAACTTTACATAACTGATCTGATAAAATGGTTATAATATTATCATTGGTTTTTTGAGAATCAATCTAAAAAAAAATATATATATATATATTATATATATAAATAGACTGGATTTATATTCTCTTATAATCCACTAAAAGGCCCTTTAAAACATTTAAAAAAGAGCAAACATAATAGAGGAGTTTAAAAGTCCCCCCCATTAATGGCTCTAACTTAATTTAATTTCCTAAGACTACAAAATTGATTCATACAAAATAATTTCTTTTAAATAAAATTGTACGTATTATAAAAAAAAAAATTACTTTTTATTAATCACTTTGGTGGTGTTAGAAAATTGTATTTATAAATTAAATTTGTTAGAAGGTGACTACTAAACCCCTGTTATTAATTTTGCATTTTTATATATTTTTTAAGTGATTATTTTCAAGTGCTTTTTATCGATATTAAGAACATATCCGGTCTCTATATATAATTGTACAATAATTACATTATAATACCTAATTATTTAGTATTTTAAAAAGTACAACTAGCTATACACTGGGTGTCACACGAAGGTATACCTATTATAATTGTAACCTTTGGAAATAATAAAGATAAACAATTTTTTTTTTATATATTGTTCATAAAAATAATGATTAGAAATATTTATATTTAAATTAATTTTTTTTGTTTTCATAAAAAATTAAAGATTGCCATAAATAGTTTATTTTCATTAAATTCATGATTTTTAATAATTTTAAAAGTTTAGATAAATAAAGTGTAAATTCAATTAGCTTTGATAATAATAACCAATTAGCAAATGCGATTACACACTACAGCATAATTATAGGTAGGTATTGTTTTCTGAAATTTAAAAAATTATTAAAAATCACAAACTTAATGAAAATAAAAAGTTGATACTTCAAAAATTCCAGAAGAATAAACTTTATAAAATGGTTACTTCAAGTTTTTCAAAAATAATAAAGTAAAAAGTTATTTTTATCAAAACATAATAATTTAATTAAATTATAAATATTTGTAGTCCATATCCAGAATTTTACTTTATTATCTTAGGCGATATTGTAACGGGAATATTTTCGCGGGACACCCTGTATGTATATGGTAGAAAAAACATACTCGTTCAATTAATGGATTTTGTTTTTTTGAAGTTTTTGATATAGTAGAGTTTTCATTATTTTCATCAAGGTAAACCGGAAAATTATTTACATGCTTTACGAGGTCATCACGTTTTTTTTTAAACATTTGGTCTTTCTTATCTAATCTAACAGTTTGTTGTAGTGTATTGTGTTTCTGAAAATAAAATAAATAATCTCATGAATATTATTTGATTAGGATATAGGTACATAAGTGAATAAAAACATTAATGACAATGGGTATTATACATTAATGTTAGATTGATAATTAAATATAAGAATTAAACATTTGAATCAACATACAGTAATATTGTAAGTTGATCCCAGCGGCTTTTTAAATTTTTCTATGTCAACAGGTGGATAATCAATTGGATCCAATATCTTATTAGCTACTCGAGAGTTGTGCACCCATCTTGCAGAAACCAGCGGAATATTACGTTCTATTGCTTTATCATATGTTTTAGGATTTCCATCACGAAACACTATATGTGTTACCTTTAATAAAAATAAGATAGCATAAAACATAATATATTCAACTTCTAATAATTTATTAAGTAATATTACTTTGAGATTGAATGTCTTTTCAACTTGGGCTCCTAATTTAAAAAGTTGATCTTGTATTCCTTTATTACAGCATCCACCATTCAATTTATAGTCAACAAATGCAAAAACTCCTAAAACATAAGGATTATTACACATATAATAATATACATATTATTTAAGTGAATGTCTTCTTAAGCAAGCCTAAATTAACAGTAAATGCACACTATTTAACCTTGGTGTATTAACATGGATAATAACATCAAATTTGTCTAAAACATTAAATTTTAATTTAAGAGAAATGTTTTACATAAATTTTAATTTTCATTTATATTGTTTCAACTTATAAATTACATTTGTTTTGATATTAGCTATTATAATAATAAAGAAGTAAAAAATAAAAGATTTATGAAAAGATGGGTACAAGAGTTAATACAATAATATAAAAATTGTAAACTAATACTATATTTCAAAAACATTTAAAGTATTGACCCTTTTAAAACGTTATTTGTTTAGATTTTATATATTCATCTTTAGCTAATTGACCACTATGATGTTCATTGTATATAATGATATTTTTAATTTTAAGAACATTATGTAAAGAGAATTTATTGTACATTTAAATTATCAAATTACATCAATCTTATTAAGGGTGGATTAGGTTGGCGTGCAATCATGCTTATTACAAAAGGCTAGTAGCTTAGTTATTCAATTGGTCTGGTACTGGTAATTATAATAATGTATCATATTTAGCCATACCAAACAGATGTTTTATAAATAAAATGTGAAAATAATAAGATTTTTTAATTTATTGTTTATTATTAGTCATTAGACTCTTCTTGTTGTGTTGAATACATCATACCTTTCCATCTTTTTTAATGAATGGCACTGTTTGGATGAGATCGATTAGTTGGTGATTTAGTTGGTCATACTTAAATCTGAATTCTTGTGATAGGGGTTAAAACTTGTAAATTAGGTGATAGGTTTTAGGGAGCCAAAAACTAATCAATTCCTTGCAATTTTGTTTTTTGGGATGACGATATGCCAAATACTCTTATAATTAAGCCATTTAATTGAACTAGTTGGATGTTAAGCACGACTGGCCAAAATTACTCAATCGAAGACTGATTTCAGCTATAATATTATTTAAAGTGTATTTAATTAATTAAATTATACAAATTAATTGGTTGGGTTTTAAATTTTTAAGGATAAATGTTAAGGGTACAACTTACATTTTAAAATGTGTAGTTATCAAATTTACCTTTAAGAACTTCACAATTTGTATTACGTTTACTACTTGATGTTGGACTATTTAGTAAATGGTGAATTCCACTAACATTAAGATTGTTATTGGATTCAACTGATATTTCTCTGGAACTGTCACTTGAGCTTACACTACTGTGACCCATTATGGAATATAATTCTGTTTGCGCATTCTGCATTATTTTGATTATTTTTGGAGTAGGAAATATTCTTGGCTGTCTTTTTTTCGGATTAGTTTTCTTATTTTTCTCACATGACTGGTTCTTTTTTTTTTTTACTTGTGTTTTATTTACTAATTTGTTTTTAGGTGCCATATTATTTGCACTATTTACAGGTGTATTGTACGGTATAAATTCACCAAATAGGTCTCTGTATCCTTTCAGTGGTGATTGTGAATCTTCAATTATATCTAATTTAGAATCTAACATGATATCAGTGTCCGATGATGTTGGGTCAGATTCATCAACAGCTAGTTTCCTTGTTTTACGATCACTGACGCGTTGCAATACATGACGGGGAATCTGACAGGACATTTTGTTAAAAGTACCTATAGACTAACTTAGAAGTGTAAAGTAAAAAAATTATAAGATACAAAGAAATTAATCACAATTATTATGGAACTTAAATTCGGAGTTAAAACTCCGAATTTGAGTGTCCGTTATTGAAGTATTGTTTTGATATTAATTTATTATGTTTAATAGTAAACACATACACGACACATGTACAAGTACCGAAAATTGATTATCGTTATGAATATTATTATTGAAAACAACGAAAACCGTTATATGATGGCGTTATCAAACTTCGTCATAGAATGTCAGAACAGTGATAGAATTAATATATCATTTTTTATTGTTTTTATTCCATGGTATTTTTTACCCGGTTAGTTTAAACTTATCACGAACCTATTTACTTCATACTTCTTATAATGGCTATGACCATGTATTATGTACATTGTATTTATTATGAAAACGGCTGGGAAAATTAAAAAATGACTTTCCTAAAGTATCACCCTAGTCAGATTTCCTTTCAGAAAAAGTGCTGTACTTGGAAATCTGATTAAAATTTCTGGTAGAAAAATTGTTAACAGAAAAATAAAATAAACATGTTAAAACCGAAAGATTCTTCGCTCCGCTGAGATTAAAAAAAAAAAAAATAATTATTGATAATTTACACTGTTATCACTGTATGGCATCTTCCATCATGCTATTCGTGTTCATTATCAGTGTTATCATATATTATCATCTTATTGTTCTCTAGGGAACAGATTGTATATATCTTTAAAAAGTTAAAAAAAAAAAGTAATTCAAAATTTTTTTATGCAGACATACAGTATACCAAGCATTATGATCTGCATTCAACAAAAATGTTACTAACCAGACTACAGTTTATACTTGATGAATATCATCGTTAATTAATAAACCTATATTCTTTCTTATATTCTCAGTGAACAATTTAAAATGTTTAAATTAAAAAACCGGACATACTTCGTACGATGGGTGGGCCACTGTTGTAGGTGAGAAGTTGGAAAGATAGAGGGGAAATTTAATGTATATGAGTACGCAACGATTAATTATTGTTAACGAAAACGATTCTGAGCGGAGGTCGGTTATACATGTTTTGAAAGGCCATCATATTTTACGATTTTAAAATAATACATTTCGTTGATTTTCCAGCTTTTCCTATGTTTTTTTCCGATTTTTCCCATTTATTATTAAAACTTTTTGAAAATGACATTATTTAAGTTGAAACTGAATACGGCCAATTACAGCTTGTAGGTGCGTAGTTGGTAAGGTAGGATACATAAAGTTATTTATTAAACATGTAATCAATGATAAATCATTGGTAGCGGAAAAAGATCTGGAGCGAAGTTTGATTATACATATTTTGAAAGGCATATTTACGATTTTCGTTAAAATCTGAGTTTAAAACTCATATTAAAAGAAAAGAAAAAAATACTACATTACACTTAATGTTTATTTTTTCGACCTTTGTGTTTGACGTATTATAATGAACCTCCTGTCGAATTTTCAAGCATTTCTGTTTAGTTTAACAATTTTATCTACAGAGTACCTCCAAATAAAAATTACGTAAAAAACTCGCAAAATTAAAATTATTATAAATAACTTAAAAATAGCTCAAATGTTTTGAAAATTTTAACACATCTAGAAAAAGCAAATTTAAGTTTTCTTTCTAAAATATATGCATAATACGTATAAAATTAAACGTATAATACCTCCGTAGTATACATATTATACTTTGATGTATAATATCTACCCAGTCCTGTCTGAAGGCACCTATAATTAAAAAATATCTACTACTTATTAAACATAGTTTATGTTGCCTATATTACATAGGTATAGGAGTAATCGAACGTTTCGCATCTGCCGTTTCGTCACTTCAATATTGAAAGTAGGACGTTTGGTCTCCGGTATTATTTTTAACCATCAGTAAAATTTAAGTAATTAAACAATATAAAGTGTATATTTCTGGGTTTTGCAATGCCCATGCGATTTACCAGTAAACGATGTTTACTATATTGTTAAAACTTCTTGTGATAATGCTAAATACATTATTATTATCAATTCGCTAACTTCTTATTTATAAATACATAGGCGAATTTAATTTTGAAATAAATAGGTATGTGTAAGAGTATACTTATCTACTTATAGTTAGAGACGACGTACCAGTTCTATCATTTGAAACTTGGGTACATAATTATATTGAACAATTGGTTGGTTCAAAAATAGAGACCTAGTGTTAGGTACGTTATAACTTTAAAGAATTAACAAATAATAATTCGTTTGTATACATTGTAATTTTGTATGAATTAAATTACGTACAATTTTATCTTTAAATTAAATTAGGTACCAAGCAAATTACTTAACATAAACAGCGATCCGCATAGTCTAGCATTTTATGTGTTAGTGTTTTATAATTTTAATAGTAAAATTCAGTTGATTTACCTTGTTTTCTATTTCGTATAATTGTGCTTGAAATGTTTTCTATTAATTAAATACATTCAATATTTTAGGTAGGTAGTAGTTGTACATAATTAGATTAGATTTTTATATTTTTTAAACAAAAATAAGTATCTATTAGAATTGAAAATATAATTATACAGAATTCGTTGATTAGTATTTGATTTTAAACGAAGCGAGGGTATTAGTTTAATTAAGACATGTTTTTAAAATTGTTTTATTTTTTGTTTCTGTATATAACTCTTTTATACTTGTATACCAGGAATCAAAAATCTTATAAACATTCTCTTGTAGTATTTGTAATCAATTGGTGCGTTGAAGAGGTCATTTTTTGATTTTCCTTGTAGTTCTCTAAATAAACGGAAAACTTGACAATTTGTTATATAGTTTTTTCATTGATTTCTTGGTTACTTCTGTAACAAGAAAAAAAAATTAATAATATTCTGCTCAGAATCGTTTTTCATTAGTAACGGTTTATCGTTGTATGCAGATATAAATTAAATAATAATATATATTCTCCTTTTGAATTTTTTTTCTAAAATAGTGATTCACCCATCAGTAGTATCAGCATTTTTTAAAAACCATTATAACTGTTCAAATTTGATTTGAATAAAATTAGTTAGAATATTTTCAATGTAAGGAATATTTTATATTTAATAGGTAACAATATGTTTTGTACATTTTTTTCTTATGGGTTTTGAAAAACTCACTTATCTAATATTTAAATTATACGAAATATTGTTAAAATTATTAATTTCCATATTGGTGGGTGGTGGTTTTTATTGTTTCTAAAATGTATCGGATATGGGCTGGGTACGTTGGGCACATGCTTAAAATTCACTTTCTACGGAGTAAAATACAAGTTGAATTCATTACATAGTCTTATCTTGATTTTTTAATACCTAGCTAATTGATTTATGTCCTATTATAATACAAGTTTAACGGTTCATTGCGTGTTATTGTCTAGAATCTTAATAGAAAAATGTCACGGTTAGACATTATTTACTTATATTTTTTTATATATTTATAATGAAACTTTAATTTTTAAATACATCGCAGAATGAAATATATTTGACCAACTTTAATTTCTATATTTAAACATATTAACATTTGACGTAAGTAAGTTTAATGTATATTACATATTTTGCTGAATGTCAATATTTGTTTAGAATTTCACAGAACTAATATGACCAATATAATGCGCTGAAAAATCGGTAACATTCCAATGTTTGTGGGTTGAGAGAGAGAGAGGGGGATAGATAGATAGAGAGAGAAAGCGAGTGGGCGGGAGTCGGATAGTGGGCAGCTAGGGTGAGTGTGTTTTATTGCAAATCATATAATATAATAAGTCAAATACTTTTAGTTTAGTATATATATATATATAAATTATAACGAATTTTTTCATTGGTAATTACTAATCATATTGTTAAATCAATAAACGAATAAATGGCTCTGGAGCTTATAGACCGTGACACATTGTATAATTTTTACCATCACCCACTTGTGGATCGTGAGCCATATTAGATTAGGAAATACCGCATTTAATGTATGTTACGAGTAATAATTACTTATTAGGGCTGTGTATCGTTAAAAGTATAATAAATTATGATTCTCTTCGTATATGAATTAATAATATTCCTGCGCTTATGAAATTATCTATTTGGTGATTCGGATCACTAATTTTGTATTATCTTCAAATCGTTTTTGTGACCTTAACTTTAAGGTATTATAGTAATAAGTGGTCCAGTTCTATCGTTAATTCTCCACCAGTTTTACATTTTATGTTTTCCATACAACACACCATACCCGCGTGATAATTTTAAAACTTAATAGTAAAAGTATAGCTTTTTACGCGGGTAGGGGTCTGGACAATAAAATACGTCTTAGTCTAACAACTCACAAGGTTTTCGTAATTATTGGGTACCTGCAGCTATTGCCGAGGACGCACTCGACCGGATATCGATCGATTTTATCGATATTCGCATACGTAGTAAAATGGAATGTGCTTATATTAAATGGCTATTTTAATACCTGTTAAAAAATATTTATTAATATATTATTAAGTGTATTATTGCCGTTATATTTTATATTAGCCCAGTGTTTCATATTTCACAGTGTCTGGGTAACTTTTAATTTACCACACAAATAATTGTTATTACGTGGTAAAGTACAACGTAAAACTAGCTTATAAAGGTTTAGTTCAATTTCTCTTCATTATCTATTTCAAGTGCAAGTCTATAACTCGAATGGGTATTTAACTTATATGCTATTTTATGAGAAATCAATCAAAGAAGATAGGTATACGGTTTTACTTCTAGTTATTGAATTTTTTGGATGATCGATGTTTAAAAAATATGGTGATCGAATTGCCACTTTTATTGTATACACACTAGAATTATTATATTCGTCTCGCCCTTCACCTGAGCTTATAGCTCCGCGCACGACATTTTAGATTCCGAACGGAGCGAGGAAACTATTTATTTATTTTTTTTAAATCCCGTGCGTCATGGCGTAATTTCCGAAAGAGAATGCTTAAACATTGTTTCTAAATAACATTTACGTATTATTATATAATTGCGGCAAATGTGACTTAATCTTTGGAAGTTGTGATTATATATATATATACACACAATACACATTGAATAATATCGATAAATTTGTTTAAGACACACTTATAAAAAAAAAAAAAAAAACATAAATATAAGTATATGTTTCGATCGTGATGTGAATATCATGATTTGAAACCATTAATCAGTGCGGTTATAAATTATAATGATATAAACCCGAAAATGTTTTTTTTTTTTTTTTTGTATGAACTAATTTCATTATTGTAACCAGATATTTGCTGTTTATAATGTGTATAATAGTTGTAGTATTAGGTACTTACGGAAATATTTAATAAACAATATGAATATTAGGTATTTATTTCGATTGTTACAAAAGTACTGCTACGTGACGATGGCGCGAAGCTTTACAGAAAATTTGCATTATACAGTAAATTATTGGATATACGGAGGCATAGTTTTGAAATTCTGTTTAGCCTAATTTCGGTTTTTATTATGTCAGTATCGGTCGTCTATAGGTATAATATTATCAAAGCTGTTATATGACACATTAAAATATATTTGTTGTTAGTTCGTGAGCAAAATAATTAAAAAAAAAAAAAAATATGTATAGGTAGTTAAATAATAAAAATATGTAAATGTATACTATGTATGCTTACAATATGTGCTTGTACTATAGATATACATAGGTATTTGATTTATTTGGGTTTGGAACGTTGGTATTTAACGCTTAAGGGCTATTTTGTATTCATATATAAAATATATTAAATATGTATCATAATACATGAGTAATATTAAAATATTACTTATAGTTGAAAATTAATTATTTCTTATTAATTTATAGAAGTACGCGTTTAAGTAAATATCTATATTTAAAAAGTTATAATAATAAGTAAAGTCGTTTTAAACAGGTACCGAATACAATTTTAGTATAAAATATAAATATTTTGTCGTGGAATACGAGTTAGATAAATGTTACTACAATTAAAGTAAATAGAGCTTCGATATAAATGCAGTGCATTTTGTTTTTTTTTTTTAGGGGGGGGGGAGCGCTCGTTTAGTTACATCGGTTTTGATAGTTATATGTAAGTTATAATGTTTTCGAAGTATATATTTCGATCCATTTAACTGATACTGTAAATAGCTCAAACCTATTAATTTGCAAAGCATTTTTTTTTTATCATTATTCGGTTATTTTGTTAGTTTAAAGTGCATTGATACATTATACGAACCGATAAACTTCAATTTACGTAATTTAAAATATTTTAAAAATGATTATAAATTTTGTTTTTGTGAAATTTGATTTGATTGGTTTTAGCCGTTTCAAGTTTTCTCTATCAATACAATTTGCCAATCGTTTTAGTTATGATTTCTATAACGTTTTTATCGTCTTTATAAACGACTGTTATGCGTCACTCAAAGAAATAACAACTAAAAAAGTGAAATTTTTATTTTCCATTTTCGCTGTTTTCCATTTGAAGATAATTTTTTTTAGTATTTCCGATTATTTTTAAAGATATTTATTCTCTAAATGTCGAAAAATTATTAGGACTATTTTCGATCGTTTTTGAGGTACTAAAATCTGGGCCTTAATACAAATTTCCATATGTGTAAGGATAGTCAAAACGAAAAAAAGATGGGCAGGTTCTTAAATTGTAACAATTTTATGATGTGGACATCCACTTCATAAAATGTATCCTTTTAGTGAGAATGACATTTTTCTACGCTATATGGATAATTTTCTGGTCTATTCACGAAGTGGATACAATTAATTATATCCACATTGTGTAATATATATAATATTTTTTTTTATAATATAGTTATTTTATTATATTTTGTCACAATGTATATAATTTTTTTTGTTTATAAATAAACAAATATTATTTTATTGGACAACTTAATAATCTATTGGATATTCTTAAACTGTATTTTATATTTTATATTAAATAATAAAATAGATAGTATTTAGACGTAGTTGAGAGTTATGGCAAACAGTACTACAAAAATTTTTTTTTTAAAACATGCACACCTTGATGTTTGATATGGGCTTTTAGATTTACATGAACGAGAAGAAAAACCTTGTCCACCTGTTGTGACTGTCACAGTCTCACGAACAGTTAGTTCTTTGTTCAACAAAATCTCGTCGTTCGTTAAAAATCGCTCACATATTTTCAAGCAATCTTCTCCGTACCATCCTTTAATCATTCCATGTTTAGTTCTTAGCTTATACAATTTTTTTTTTTTTTCAACAATGAAGCATAAAATATATGATGGATCTGTAGGCCTTCCGTTAATCTTTTGAATAGCCATTACTACACAATCATTAATTTCGAAATCAGTACAAAATCAATTGGAACTCTTGAACTGTTCAATTCAACTTCCGGGCAGTTTTAAAATAACGCATTATTTGGGTTTCTACCAATAGTATGGTGTAGTGAACAGTTTTTTGCCACTGATCAATCTGAAAACCGACTGACCATTTCTGAGACACATTCTCTTTCATCCACACTCTTAACACATGCATCAACATCAACGTCTTGATTGTCCCGCTCAATACTCCCTTAACTCTAAGGTTGCCTTGGACGTCCATGTACAATGACACACTCGGGCCGAAATTGTTTTAATTCATCCAGTACATAGTTAACAATTACTCAGTCATTATAACTCTGTAAAATACTTGGCGCTCCAAATGTTCGGAAAATACTTAGTAATTGAGTACCGATTACTATTGCTCTTTTACTTTCCATGGGACGGAGAGATATAAATTTTGTGTTGTGATCTTGATAGTTTAGTATCTATTTATACTTTTTGTCTTTTTCGGCTTCGTATCATAATATTCTGATAATTTCTCATAAAATAATATTTTTTCCATTATATTATGAAATACGTTTTACTACTAGAGAGACTAAAGTAGAACAACTGCTATCCGACAGTATTGTCAACGAGCTTTACACTATAATCTGTTTAACCATTTTCAATTATTTGATAAATTTCATCTTCAGATTATGCCTGATCGATTGACAAACCCGTTTATACATTGTACCAGTTTATTTATATTTTATTATTACAAAATTAACCAATAAAATATACAATTTCTTTGTAGTAACTAAAGCCCAAAAATGTAATTAATTAATTTTTTCGTACATTGTTTCATTTAATAATAAAGTATAAAATTAAATTAAATTAAACTCTCATACATTGAAGTTTAAGAAATTTTATTTTGCCATTCAATAAAATAATTCCTGTTTATTATTAAAAAAAAAAAATTATACAATACCTATTTTATAAAAAAATAAATATATATATATTACACTATACGGATAAAATTAATGAATATGTCAAAAAATTGTCCATATAGTGTAGAAAAACGTAATTTTCACTAAATGGATACATTTTATGAAGTGGATGTCCACTTCAGGGTTTCCCACAAAGATATACCCATTGTAATATCTTCAGAGTTAATAAAGATAATCAAATTCTGGTTTATTATATTACTCACTATCAAAATTTTCAGAAAAATAAACTATAGAATGCTAATCTTTAATTTTTTTTAAAATTTTTTTACTAAAACATTAACAATTAATTGCTATATAAATATGTGTAGTCCTAATCCCTGTGATTAATATTAAAAAAAAATTAGAATTTGATTATCTTTATTATATTCTGTTTTTAGATTTTTAGAATTTTAGAAAGAATGTGTTGCGGATACGCTGCATGCGCATAGACATCATAATGATATTATTATAATATATAATGTATCAATTATATAGGTTTTTTCGCTGGTGAAAATTGCACGACGTCAATAATATGATGTTGAGCTGCCACACGCCGTCTATAATATGCGCAAACTTTTAATCCGGTATACTACCTCATGGTTCATCCTAGAGGCCGAATTTTTATCCATATAAATCGGAAAATAATGTAGGTACGCGAAACGCCTTGATGATTTTTACGATTTTCATCAAAGATTGAGTTTATCAAAGCTTTAAAACCAATGACTATACCCTGCGTTCAATTTTTTGTTTACAGTTATTGCATAAAGTTTCCGGGTTTTTTGACGGTTTTTTCCCAGTTATTAAAAAACTACAAGGCAAATTTTAAAAAATTCAACGTTTGTAGAATCTAAAATATCATATAAATCATAACAATCATACCTTAATATTTTTTGATACGTTTACATTTTAAAATAGGTAGCGTGAATGTACACGAATCGTTAAATCGAAATTGGACGTTGAAATTAAATTGAGTATATTATTATAGCTCGTTTTTTATACAAATTAATCATCCCGTGAAAAAGAAAGGCTTGCGAATTTAAAAAAAATTACTCGGCCAATTATATAGATTAAAAAAAAAAAAATATTAATATCGTGGACATCTGTTTAATTCGCTAGTTCATTAGTAACGAAATATAGGTACTTATATATTAGCTACATATTATACACTTTACAGGTAGAATAATTGATGATGCAGTTTTACAATCCTATTCTTTTAAAATTATGCTGTAATAAAATTTTTTTCCAAAAATGGCGTATTAGCTATAGTCATTATCTATACAGAAATATATATTTTTTAAATTCAAGTTTAATTATCAACCTTATTTTGCGTTGGCACATCATTTTATGGATTTAGTAATTTTTAACTATACTTATGTAGTTATATTAATAATAAGGTAAATTATTTATGTATTAATAGATTTAGGTCATTGAAAAATACAAACTGTTTTCGCAGATTCTGAGTGGATCGATTCCAAAGATATTCATTTTACAATAACGTTTTTTTTTTTTGTTCATTTTAAACCATCGTAAATACGTTTAAAAAGCAATTATTAAACAGTCATAAAATTGAATGCAGCTAATGAATGGTACAGATTTAAAATTGATCCTTTTTATATTATCCTTATCCATATTTATTTTTTATTCCAACATAATATATAAATTGTTGAAGATAAATCGATAATATTAATCTTCAAGCGTTAATTATTATTATATTATTGCTCATTATAATCAATATAAAATATTTAAAAAACAATATTTTGTTTATAAAATCATTTCGGAGATATTTAAGGTTTGAGTATAGTATTATTATGAAATAATAAAAAAAAAAAACTTGTATTAATAATGAATATTACTAATAGAATTGTATAGAATAATGTTAAAGGAAAAGCAAAATTATATTCAAAATGCTGACGTTTCGTATAACAATTATTTTCTTCTTCTGCAGTCTTCAATCTAATGATTGGTTTGTAACAATAATTTTCATACTTCTCTGTCGTTAGCCTTCCTCTTCAATTCTTGATATTAATTACATTCTTGGTTTTCTATAATTTGACTCATGTATTGTAAACGTTGTTTTTCTTGGTGGTTTTTTCTATCTTCCATTCCTTTCAAAATTAGTCCTAGCAACTTTCCATGTCTGAGAATAAGACCCGATTAACTAATTTTTATTTCGTTAGGAAAAAAATTATTCGATTGGTTTTTTAAAGTAGTCGATAGTTTTTACGAATAAAAGTAGTGATATGACGTTTTATGGCCATTGGGCGTCTACTCGGTCTTTACGGACGTTGTCGGAACATTCACAAATTCATCGTACATAACTGGTACCCTTCGGATATTTTTTCCAAATGGAATGATTATGCTGAAGTGGTCGGTGCGTTATTCAAGGTTGTCGTGGTAAAGGTGGAGTTGGTTCCTGTCTTCATTCTCCGGCCGACCGCCAATAGGCGTTAGTATGTTTTACTTTTTGAATAATAATCGTCTTTATATTCGATTGTTTATTTTATTTGTATTTTCATTTACAATTGGATCTTTGTCGGATCGTTGGATCGGGGCAACAAGAGACATATCCAGGCCAGAGCCGAAATGGCTGCGGCCGACGTGTATTATTCTCTCGAAAGGATGGAGATTTATGATTGTGTATAGTGTTGCTGATTTGTTGAAGTGTGGACTAGACTTACTGGGGAGACTATTTAAAAAAAAACTTGCCTTTTTAATACCCCTGTGGTGGTGTGGAAAATTAATATTTTTACATAAATATGTTTCTCCGTACGGTCGTCTTGAAAAAAAATTTTATGCTAAGGTCAGTCTATTTTTCTTTTTCTTTTTATATCATTTTTTTTAGTAGACAATAAGATATTTGATGTGAAATCGACAGGTTGCCAATGTTGGAGCGGCCTACTGGGTCATGGAAAAGAATATTCGTGTGGAATATTAAATAGTTAATCAAAAGTATCGATAGTAAAAATAATTCAGAAGTGTCCATCACTTGTAAAAATGCATGGTTCTGGATAACAATAAACGCTGCAATCATTAAATATTATAAAATATTTCTGTAAAAAATAGTCCAATATTAAAAATATTATAATTATTTATCGTGATAATCAACTTAAATACCGATTCAAACATGTATAATCACGTGATAAATAGTAAAAATGCGGTGTAACTTGGCAATAAAATCGAACCATTTGATATGAATAGCACCATTTTATTAATTTAAGGAATTTAAAACCTATTTTGTCATAATTTAATTGGCAAAAGAAATATAACAATACGCACGTGCGAGCCCTATAATATGTACCTATATAGTTATCAATCTTTATGTTCACGATTATGTTATATGTGCATCGACCAAACATTATTATTAGGGTTCGTTTTTTATTATAAATACAAATTTGCAAGGTCAATACATGTAATATGCATTAATACAAAAAATGATCTTTTTTTTTTTTAAATTATATATTATGTATTTTATTGTGTAAGAAAATATTTCATTAATATTAGTACCTATATGTATTAGGTATTATTTTACTAAGGAAAACATTTTATAAAAATACATGCTATTATAGTATCGTTTTTTTTTTTTTTATTAGACGGGTTTTAACGAAATTATGCGCAATTTTGTATAATATTATAAAATTGATAGGTTTAGGTGTGTGTATACACACTATATAGCTTAGCATTGTGAAAATGATTTATTTTTTTTACGTACGGGTTTAGGTTAACCGTCGTCGTATCTGCAGTCGTCCATCCTGCAATCGGAAGATATAATTCGTGCAATGAATATATAATTATACTGGACAAAAAAAAAAGTGCGAATAAATTTTAATTTATACATTTTTTTTTTTGTTTACGACTTATTTTTGATGCTTAGGGGCAACATTCCGTATTACATATACAGCTGGTATAGGGAAGTTAAAATATTACGATTATTTAAAATGTATTATATCATACGTATGCAAATACGAATTAAAATTTATTTTTATAACTATGCGCACGCTATACTTCATATAGATTAAAATAATAACTTTTTTACAT